CCCCCCCCGACCTCCTGCTGGGCAGGGATCCTCTCAGGCAGGGGGCCCCCTTTTCCGTCCTCCTCTGGGCAGGGCCTCACATCACTCCGCTAGGGAGGGGCCCAGTCCAGCAGTGGAGTGACCCAGAACAGTGTTTCCCAGACTTGTGCTACATGCAGCCAATCCCCCCTCCCAACTTACTGATTCCTGTAGGTTTAAACGTATGGTTAAAATAAATACTGGGGAACAAAGGGCTCCCCTCCTACACACTGTGTCTAAGGGTCTGTTTCAATGGATATTTTGGGCAGCAACACCAATCTATCTTGTGAGGGTTTTTTTTCAGAGCATCTATTCCTGCTATCTGAGCAAGGTGTTACAATTAAAGATAGCTTTAAGCATGTGTCCTTGCAGTGTCCCTTGCTCCACTGAACGTTGTTCAACCTCAATCTTTAGTTATCCCACTAAAAGAAGAGTTCACACCATAGACTGGGCAAATCAAGCATTAAATAGCCCATGGAATATGTGGTTCACATTAAATATGACACTTTAGTCATTCATCTCTTATTCTCTCATCTGTTCGTTATTTACTTAGATTATTAAAGTCTTAGGAGCTTTGTCTATACAATATCCAGCAGCAAGCTTTTGGGTTCTGCACAAAGTCCTGACACCTTGAGATAGAGTAGACAAGGTCTGAGTCATTGGGGAAGACATAAAATTGCTTATTTTGTATCCAATGTGAAGGAGAAATGTGATCATGCTCTGTCACCTGAAATCAGCTTTCAGACGATTGTTCCAAAGCAGGTAACGTCCTTCCCCTCTAGGAAACTCCTGAAGTATGTGTGGGCGCACGGCCTGCGCTCTAGGAGCAGATGGCATCCGCCGAGCCTGTGTGTACCGTGATATCCATGGTAGAACAAGACACCCTGAATGGAGAGATGCTGATAAATACAGCCCTTCCTACAATAAGAGTCCCCAGTCCAACAGTCCTGTGCTGCTTTCCCGACGACACTTTGAGAAGGTAACCTTCAAGCAAAACAAAATACTCAGCATAATTATGGTTCATCGTGTACAATAACAGAAGTTTGAAGGGGATTACTATATATTTCTCAACTGTACTTGACAAATTGCATATAAACATTTTTACATTAATTTTGATGCCATCTTTCCAAGTCTTAGTAGTTTAGTTCTGTCTCCCCAAACTCCTAGTGCTAGTATATGCTTTGCAAGAATTCATACTGACACTTCAGACTCTTCAGTACACACGTATTAGAGGTTCTATTTATGTTCCTGCTTCTACAGTAAAAAGGTATTTTAAGTTCTGCTGAAATGTCAGGTATTAGTTATTTGTTGTAAGCGCTTAGTTTGTAGAACCAGAAATGTTTAAATGTGAAATTTTAAAAAAAAGTCAATATTTTATCATTCTAAGCCAATATACCTGCGTAGTAGTTTGAAAAACTACTTCTTTCTTTACTTTCCTGCTTAAATATTCTACTCAAAATTCCACAGTTCTCACGCAATAGCTGATGAGAGCACAAAGCAGAAGAAGATGGTGCTAGAAACATGCATATTTATTGTATAAATATGTGTATTATTGTAGTGCTTAGGAGCTCAATTTATGGACCAGGATCCCATTATGCTAGGCACTGCACAAACATGGAACAAAAAAGATGGATCCCTGTCCCAAGGAACTTTAGGCAGTGTATAAGACCAGAGAAAAATGATGTATGTAGGCTGATTGTTTCCTTGTACTCCTCCACCAATGAGGTAGTGTGTTGGTCAGTATGATAGGTAGTGGTCTCAAGGACACCAGCAACCTAATTATGAACATAAGCAAACATCTGATCATCCAGTCATCTTTAGTAAGCTACTTTCTATACTTATTCACTATTTGGGGACAGTGTGATACACTTTATTTACACAATCAAAGTAGAAACAGTTTGGTTTGTGCATTTCTTTGCTTGTAGGCATGAAAGGTTTTATAAAACGGAAGCCAATAGAAACGTTTCAACATAGTTTTGTTCATACGTAACTTTTTTCAATAAATCATTTGCCTATGGTGTTAGCCACCCAAACATTGCAGCTTTTGACTTTCACCTGAAAATAAGAAAGTGAATTTGACTAGACACTTACTAGAAGCAGAAGTGAAACCCACAGTCTGTTTCCATTGTCCAAACTGAGAAAAAATGCAAAACTGTGCACAGGGAAAGTAAGTTTGATTTTAAATATGCTCAAAAAATTAAAACAAATGTACTGTTTGTAACGTTTGTAAGGATTTATTAAAATAAAAAATTAAGGAACCTAACAATTTCCTTTTATAATTATTCACAGCATTGGGGAAGGCCCTTTCATGATAATGTTGCTGGGACTTTTTTGGTAGGACAGAATGTATAATATGCTCAGAGTGGTAGATCCCCAAATAGTATTACTAAAGTAAAAATTGCAAATTTACTAGTAATTGCAAATATTGTATTAAATAGTGAATGCTTCTTATACTCAGTAATGTTTATATATTTTTTCAAAATAGCCTTTTTTGCATATTGTTCACTCTGAAAATTAATCCTTGCATATTTTCAATGACTTTCTCATAGGAGAAATACTTACACATTACGTTTTAATCATTTGTGTTTGCAGTCACACACCAGTCTTTGGGATGCTGATGCTTACCAGTTACAGTTAACTGTCGGGGGCTGGAGCAGCCCCCCACCCGCTGTGGGCAGGGAGGGCTCCAGCCCCGTCAAAAAAGTCCCCCCTCCCCCTGTGCATGGCAGACCCTACCCAGGTGCACCGCAATTATGGAGAATGGAGAAGCCCCTGCTCATGGTGGAGGGGACACTCCAGACCAGCCCTCTGTCCCCCCATTTAATTGGTTAACCAATTAAACTTAATGTTTAGCCAGTTAACTAATTAAATGGGATTTTACATCCCTAATTAGCATTGAGTATATTCTCACACCCATTCAAAGTAAAAGTGGTAGAATTGCCAAATAACTAGCAGAAAAGCAACCAACAATTTCTTTCATGTCAGAAAGTAATCTTAAAATGTAAGATATTACTTGTTATCTGAAAGCTCCTGTTTTCTTGTTAGGCTATCTGCTAATAGTTGTATAGTCTCTACTGTATAATGGAAAGTCAGCTATGAAATGCTTTGATTACTTTGTAATTTGCTGTCTGCTACTGTTCTGCGTGTACTGGCATTAGGTGCTTTTCTATTTTATGTGAAAGGATGCTGACTCTTCTGAACGTGTCCTTGCGGCTATGCGCTGGGGACTGGTCCCATCCTGGTTTAGAGAATCTGACCCTTCCAAAATGCAGTATAAAACCTCCAACTGTCGCAGTGATACCATGATGGAGAAACTCTCCTACAAGGTAAGTTTACGATATTCTTGCATTTAATGAGTCTTGAGAGACAAAAGACTTTAATCATCAGCTCCAGGCAGTGCTACTAATGACTTGTTAGAGGCCAAAGCATCTTCCTAATAAGTATTGGCTACCACCAACCTCTTGCACAGAAAATAAAATCCTTCTGAGTGACACATTGTACAGTCTAGTCTCTCAGTTTCATCGAAAGCATAGCTTTTTGCCTGCTGTATTTGACCAAGTGGCCTGAAGATAACCTGCTGTTTGATTCAAGCATGGCTCAGGCTGGAGAAAACAAAGGCATTCTTTCTATAGAAAAAAAGCTTTGAGAATAAGCTACTATTTTATATTAATAAAAAGCGTATCTGTTAATTGGGCTGCAGTACGAGAAGCTCTACAGGTATGCTTATCCTGCCCCTCCTCTCCTGAAAGGTGGGTATGCTATTTGGTGGGAGACTCTAAAAGAGGGTTCTGTCACACACTAAAGGATGGAAGGTGAGAACATGAAGGATTATTGTGTCTTACTACTCATAACCTTCAGGGAGATAAAGGTTCTTAGAATTACCTTGAGTATTACTTGCAGAACATCTCCAGCTTGATTTTGATGTGGGGTGAAAGCTTTGATATTTATCTGCCATTGATATTAATGAAAGGGAGTAGGCAGAGTACCATTTAAACACAGTGACATATTTTAAACTAAATTAAACTTCCTGAATGGGATGGAAATACCAGAATTCCATCATGTGCTAGTGTTGAGCTTTCATGCTGCTACCAGCATGTATTAATGCATTTTAATTCCAAGGTGGTTAGGGGACACTATCAGATTACAATGTATAAGCCACATATATACTAATTAACTACATAATAAGAGTGTAATTTCATCAAGAGCTTTTAATAGTGACATAAACTCTGAGAACAGAGGATAGTTTCATGTGAACACAACCCCAGTGTGGCCCTATAGCTTTAATGTCTATGCATTTGAGGATCATTTATAGAATATGAAAAGGTTTATAAAGAAATGTGTTCCTTATACTTCAGTAATGGCCTTTGTTCTCCCCTTGTTTTCTCACTCTAACAAATGTTTCTTTTATTTTAATGCCTTCCAAGCTGCCATCTGCTTTGATTTTGTGACATGGTCAAATCTTCTCTTCCCAAAGGGACCTCTGGTAAAGGGCAGGCGCTGTGTAGTGCTGGCAGATGGATTCTATGAATGGCAGCAGCACAATGGAAAGAAGCAACCCTATTTTATTTACTTCCCACAACCCAAGCAAGAAACGGTACTGGATTCCCAGCAGCAGTTGTTTTACTATTCAGCAATGAGATATAGCACTTTTTGGTTTGAAAAGGCTTTAGAAATTCAGATTGGTCTGGCACCCTCAAGACCTGAGTGGTTCCAAACATAAGTATTTGCTGGACCAGGGAATGTCAGGCATCCGGGCTCTCTTGGAGCTCCCCACCTGGCTGCTGCCTCAAGAGAACCTGGAGGCCTGACCTCCTCCGTCCCACCTGCCTGGTTCTGCTGCCCCCAGCCCACTCATGGGGCTCTTCTCCTGGTCCTTTGTGGGGTGGCAGCTGCTCCTGCGGTTTCCTGCCTCACGTGGAACAGCAGCTGCTCCCAGGGTTCCCAGCCACCGGGCCCCATGCAAGGCAGCAGCCACACTTGGGTTCCCTGTCCCCTCTGCCCAGCCCTGTTCTAGGCTGCAGATGCTCCTGGGGCTCCCTGCCCCCATCCTCTGTGGAGCTGCAGTCTCTCTCCAGGCTTTCTACCCCAACGTCACTGGCCCTGCAGGCTGCTGTCCGCCAGACCAGCTCCACTCCCAGACGCTCTCAACTTCTGTGGCCAGGGCTCTCTGGTCTAGCAACATCTGTGGTCCTGCTAGACTGCGAATGCTGCCAGACCACAGAGTCCTGGATGAGAGAGATTCAACCTGTATTAATTAGTTATTTATCTTGAAGGATAACATAATTATTTTATAAATTCCTGCTTACTCCATTTGTGTTTGTGATTAAGGTTCAGGCACAGGATATTGGAGGCAGTGCAGAAAGATGAGCTTCTCTGATGTTTGGAACTGTTGCTGTAAAGTTGGATGATATACCCAAAGCTGCCGTCTGTGCACGGCCTTTTGATCTACTACAGTGTGCTTCCCTAACTCTTCTAACATAGGGCTTGCTCCAGAGAAGTTCTGAGCACACAGTGCTCCCATTGAAGTCAATGGCCCTTGATAAAATTTCACAGAGTACAGTTTTGAATAGTCTCAAACTCTTCTGCATGCTGTGCTTTCTTCCCTTGTTAGTGCCCCCCCCCCCCTCGAAAATTTAATTGTTACTTGGAAGATCTTACCTGTTTCTGTTGCTTATCCTTGCTCCTTTCCTGTGACCTCACAATAATTTCCAAAGTAATAATATACAATGCACAGGTGGATAATATTGAAGGGGAAAAGTAGCAATGTGAGACGAGGCTCCTAATAAAGTTTTTGAGTACACATCCGTAGAAATAGAAGTGTAATTAAAATAGCAAATGAGGCTGACTCAATCTGACTGACAATGGTTTTCACTGTTTTTTGCCTTTAAATAACTTTGTATTGAAATGACTTATCATAAAAAGGAGGTTAGGAAAATTTGTGATCATTCTTTGTCTTTTTCAGGCAGATGGGAAAGATGATGATGAAAAGTGGAAAAGCTGGAAGTTACTTACCATGGCTGGAATTTTTGATTGCTGGGAGCCCCCTGGTGGAGGGGATGCATTGTACACTTACACCATCATCACAGTAGATGCTTCTAAAAGCTTAAGTGCCATTCATAACAGGCAAGTGAGATTGACTGGCTATGGATTGTAGAGATTGTGTGGTGTCAGTCACTGGGCCTGCACTCCCATCTGCTGTCAAATGTGACTCTCCTGGACAGTGAGGGGGAAATCTCGCTCCCCTGGGGTACAGAGCCCCCAGAAGGGTCCGAGGCTGGAGGTCAAATCAGTGAGGCAGGAGAGAAACCTAGAAGAGAAAACTTTATGATGCATGCATGCAGGCTGTCACTTCCAAGAGTGAAGCAGCAGCCCTGACAGACAGATTCAGGTATCCTATATACAGAATGCTTAGACAGTTCAGTTGTGGATTGTTCTTCTTTAACATATCAAAGTCTCAGCAGAAGTACTCTGAGACTTCTGTTCACCCCAGGAGTGCTAGAAGTAAGTTTTTACAGTACACAAAGCCACATGAGAACTTGAGTGGAGGAGTCTACAAGGCAAACTGTGACAAAGATAAGGGTTTACATGACAAATTGTGACAGACTAGGAGTATCCATGAATTTGAGACAGTCATTTGTAAGGGTCTTTGATTAGAGCTAATTTGATTTCTCTCTGTTACAGGGAGAGAGATCTGGAAAACTTTTTAACCCTTACAGCAGTTTTCTTTCAGAGAGTTTTGATTTCTGCACAGTCCCCCCTTTGACACAATTGGAGTTATTTGATTTTTCTCCCACAAAAGCAAGTAAAACAGAAGGTTTATTGGTTCACAAGGGACACAGCATAGCACAGACTTGTTACATGAACCAGGAGCATTCAGTACAATCCACCTTGAGGTTAGGGGGCCCAGAGCCGGGGCTCTAGGCCCCTGTCCAGCCCCCCAAGCCAGCTAGTGTCCCTTCTCCTTAAGCCAGTCAAAAAAACACCCAGCAATTGGTTCCAGCCCCCTGTGCAGCCCAGCCTCTTTCTTTGTACTGCTTCCCCAGCCCAAGGTGTTATCTGACTATGACTTGTTGCATCTTCCCCCTAGGATCGGGATAGGATGGCCTGGGCCATTCCCTACATGCCTTCCCTCAGGAGTTCTCACCCAAAGAGCCCATCCCTCACTGGGCACTACACACACAGAGTCATTACAGAGCAGCACAGGACAGTAGGAATCACATACAGCATAGCAAAGCAAAACAGTGAATGCAGTCCCCACTACGTCACACATGATGACAGAGATTAGTGGGGAGTGCTTGTCCAAAAACCCTCCCTTAACATGGGAACCTTCCCTTTACTCGTGCTGTGTGGAGCAGGTAGTGTGACTCTATTGCTTATGTACAAAACCCTGATAATGCCAAGAACACACAGTTTAAGAGTTCTTTCATGCTTTTTCTGCCTGATTCTCCTAGGCTATGTCTACACTGCAGGCTTCTTGCGCAAGAACTTTTTGCACAAGAGTTCTTGCGCAAGAGTGCGTCCACACTGCAATGTGCTTTTGTGCAAGAGACGTGCTTTTGCGCAAGAGTGTCTGTGGCAGTGTGGACACTGTCTTGCGTAAGAAAGCTCTGATGACCATTTTAGCTATTGGGGTTTCTTGTGCAAGAAGAGCCTTTTTGCACAAGAGCTCGTGGGGAGAGGAATAATTCTGGTGCAAAAAGCCCTCTCTTCTGACGATCTATTGAAAACTTTCTTGTGCAAGAATGGGCTTGTAGTGTGGATGCCCTGCAAGTTATTGTGCAAGAACAGCTGTTCTTGTGCAAGAAGCCTATAGTGTAGACATAGCCCTAGAGAAGTACATTAGAACATTAATTATTTGTTTCAAGTCACTGAATCTTGCCCTTGCCATAAATCACTTTGTCTCTTTGCCAGTAGCAATAAGAATTAAGTTGCTCATAGGCCTGCCAAGTGATTGACAGAACTCTTTGCCTTCTCTGGGGAAGCAGGCTGCTTTGGTGAAGTTAGCACAGTTTGCCTCACAGAAAAATACTGTTTTGCTTAGTCGTTCCCTAAGGCTTCAGAAATGAGGTCTTTGTACCTTCTAGCCAGTCCTTAACATGCTAATAGTTCTAATAATTATTGCCAACACATTTAATCCCCATATAGCTGGAGTCTGAATTATGTTAATTCTGGATCTTAGTTTGGCTTGCACCCAAATCACTCAATCCTGCCATGTGGCAGGTAAGTTGTGTGTGTCTATGTGGTCTTAAGATTTTTTCCCTCTCCTCCCATGTTTTAGGATGCCAGCTATCCTGGATGGGGATGAGGCTATCAGGAAATGGTTGGACTTTCCAGAGGTACCAACGCAGGAAGCCCTTAGGCTCATCCACTCTACAGAGAACATTGCTTTCCATCCAGTTTCTGCTATAGTAAACAACTCCAGAAACAATACACCAGAATGCCTTGCTCCCATTGAGTTAGAACTGAAGAAGGTGAGATTTGGTGAATGACATAAATCAGACTTCCCTACCATAATACTGTTTAATAATAAATAGAATAGTACTTTGTTCTTTGTCTACATCTCTTTGAGGATCTCACTGCTTCTTACAGACATTAATGAATTAAACCTGCCTGTGAGATTGAAATTTGGGATAAATTATTTTAGATGCATAGATGGTTCGGGCCAGAAAGGCCTTTTACAGAGGAGAAAGCAGAGGCTGTAGAATCAGGACCTGATTTAAGGACAGACCACTCAGGAAACCATCTGGATGCAGGGCATAGGGGTCACTAGGCTCAGGGTGCTGTTTCATTGGTTAGAAACTAAAGGGAAAGTGGAAGTAAAATCTAAATACAGATTTACATATCCTAGTGTGCAAATGTATCCTCATATTGCAGGATAAATCATGCATCAAAGTTGTGAAATGGGCTACAAATACAATAAAAAACGAAGTATTCAAAAGTTTAACCAGTGAAAGGAGGTGCCAAAGACTCCTTGCCTGCAACGTCATTGATCCCGGGCTGGCCCTGATAGAATATAAGAGAATAAATTTGTGGGCAATGGGTGTCAGGGAGTGGGAGACTGAGACTTCCAGTACAGCCGGGTGTGGCCCTGCCCACACCACTCCCAGGAGTGCTTGTGAGTTCCTGCTCTTTTGTGGCCCAGGACTGGCTTGGGCTGGGCCTGCCACCAGGACTTGTGGAGGCTAAGATTGGCACCCTGATTGGTGCTTCAACTGGAGGTGCTATGGCAAAAGCGCTCACTCCTGGGCTGAGTTTGGGAGATGCTGCAGCCATGCTGCGCATCTCACTCTGGGGCTAGTCTCAGGGGGTGTTGCCACCTGCTCTGCGTTCCATTTTTGGGGTTGAGGGCAATGTGACTGAACTGTCTGCTTAATGCTCTGGGGCTGAGGTTATGGGCACTGTGATGGAACTGCCCAGCTCACACTTTGGGGCTGGGATTGGAGGTGCTGCAGCCACACTGTGTGCCCGGTGCTCCATGACTGAAGTCGGAAAGGGTGGTTAGACACGGGAGTGCTGGCATGGAGTGGGGAGGGAGCAGCAGCTGATGGTTTTCTGGGCTCTGATGAGGAGCAGAAGGGGAGAGGGAGAGGGCTGGAACCTCGAGTGGAAGAGTACGGGAGAGACCAGGATGATGGGGTAGGGATAACCTACCCTAACTGCTGAATTACTTGCTGCCCCTGAATAAACTGCATGTTTTGCTTAGCTCTTAATTAGGGACTGACAGATCACTCTATGCCTAAGAATGAGCAGTAGTTTATGTGCCTTTTTGAGATTCTTGATCTACCCCTTCTAACTGATTCAGGATGGCTCTGAGGAACTCCAAAAGGAGCTGTAGATGGCCATCTACCCCCAACTGGAGAGAGGGTCACTGTAGTGTTTAATGTTTGAAGGCCCGTTAAAGATTCCCATTCCTTTTCCTGCTCTTCCAGAAATAAAACATATTGCAAAGTGTCAGGATCACTCTGCTTAATAAGGTATATTCTGACCTGAATGGCATTTAGATTAATCTGACTGGGACTTGCATGAGAACCTTGTG